GACCTCAGATTTTATTTCTAACAATGGCACATATACTTTTGGGGATCCTTTGTTTCTCTGAATTTGATGAGTTGTGAAGTTTTTGTTGACACATGGAAAACAGTTCTCAATTGAGTCTGTACAAATCAAAGTCTAAAGATCATGTACCTGTCTAGACATACCCATCACTCATACAAAAATAGATCTACCTTCTTAAAGAAAATTCCAACGTGGTCTGACATACTGTAGTTATCTGTTAATGAAGTTAAATGTTATTGGAAACTTCCTTCTTGGAAAGCTATCAAAAGGTACTAAGAAAAGTTATAAAACTTTTTTTTTACATAAGAAATTTCATCTGATATTCATCAAAGTGAATCCTGAATTAGATACTAACTTTGGTTCAAACAAAAACAAAAATAACCCTTGGAAAAGTTAAAATGATCACAGTATTTTTAATACACCGAATATCCCCAAATTTGTATATAGAGTCAAAAAAATTCCAATTAAAATGGAAATGTTGGCAAAAAAAAATTTTTTTTGTCTTTTTGAGACAGGGTCTCCCTGTAGCCCCAGCTGTCCTGGAACTCACTATGTAGATCAGGCTGGCCTTGAACTCACAGAGATCCACCTGCCTCTGCCTCCCAAGTGCTGGGACTACAGGTGTGCACCACCACACCTGGCTGGCAATAATTATTTTAAGGCTATATGGGAAAGCAAGAATTCAGAACAACCCTAGTAATATTGAAATTTTCTCTTAGCTATAGTAATTAAGACCAAATGAGATCAATATTAGGATCTACAAATGATCTGTGAATATAATAGAAACTTCGGGCTTAAACTGACATATATACAGTTACTTGATAGTCAACAAAAATGTCAATGAAATTCAAATTGGTATAAGTATTTTTAATAAACAGTATGGAAAAACTAGATATTTGAAAGGAAGTAACCTTGACTTCCTGTCTTATGCCATACCCAAAATTATGATGAACTACAGACCCACATGAGTTAAAAAAAAAAAAAAAAACACTAAAAAAATAGTTATCTTAAAATTGCTTTTGATTATTTTGTGTGTTTTGCCTGCATGTATGTAAGTGCATTCGTGTCATGCAATGTCCACAGAGGCCAGAGGACACTGGATCCCCTGAAATGTAGTTATGGACAGTTTTAAGTCACTGTGTGGGTGCTGGGAACCACATGCAGGTCCTCTACAATTGCAGCCCAGTGCTCTTAACTGCTGAGCCATCCTTCCAGCCCCACAAGATAATATCTTAATGGCTTTAGAATAGACAAGTCATAAAGATGCCAAAGAAATTGCTGAACTGAACTTCATAAAAAAGTCAAAGTTCTGTCCACTAAAGGCAAGTCATTGATTTTAGAAAAGAACTTGAAAAAGAATTGTTAGATGATTAAAAGAACAGAGACCAAAGAATGGCTGATACAAATTCTTAAATTTTCAAAAACAAAACAGGTTGAGATCTCCATCAAAATACCAGTGACACTCTACAAAGAATCAGAAAAAAAAATCCTAAAATCTGTAAGCAACTACAAAACAAAAGCAGCAAAACAGCTAAAGCCACTGAAAAAAGAACAAAGCAAAATACTGTTCTAAGTTCAACACATACTACAAAGCAGCAGTAATCAAAATGACATAAAAAGAGATGTAGAGACCAATGGAGCAGAACAGAGAGCCCAAAAGGAAACTGGGTCACAGGATAGAGGAATTATAGCCCTATCATACCCATCTTCAAAGCTCTTATAAACCACGAGTTTACGAGCAGAACATCAGGAATACAGGAGAGGGCATTAAACCATAAATTCACAGTCCAGAGGGGTCAACAAACTTTTCTTTGCAAGTAACAAGGAATAAGTATTTTAGGTTTTGGAGGACGCATAGGAGTCTCTGCTTGCTGTCCTTCTCTAAAGGGTCTTAAAAACATTAAATTTAGGCCTAAAAGCTAGTCTGTCAATACTTGCTCTCAGGAAGACTTGTGTTCCGGGTTCAATTCCCAGCACCCACATGGTGGCTAACAACCATCAGTAACTCCAATTCCAGGGAAATTCAATACCTCTTCTGACCTCTGCAGGTATTGCATGACACAGGTGCACTTACATACATGCAGGCAATATATTCATACACATAAAATATAATTTTTTAAAAAAATGACTTGTGTTAAGGCTCTTGATAGAACTCTTACATTTTAGCAACTGTTCTCTTTAAACAAGCTAATCACTGAAATGGAATCTACTTTCTTCTACTGATTTTTGTTTTTGGTCTTTTTGAGACAGGGCCTCCCTGTAGCCCCAGCTGGCCTGGAACTATATAGACTAGAATGGCCTCAAACTCACAGAAATCCTCCTGCCTCTGCCTCTCAAGTGCTGGGATTAAAGGTGTGCACCACCATGCCCGGCCCTACTTTCTTCTACTTATATAGTGAATATATCTTAAAAGCAACTCATTTGAAAGATAAAATAATCACCATCAGATTAAACAAATTCAATTATATTTAGTATTTTTGTTTTGTGTATTTGAGGCCAACTCTTACATAACCCCAAGCTGACCTAGAACTCATTATGTAGCCAGATAGACCTTAAACTCCTGATCCTCCTGCCTCTACTACCCAAGTGCTGGGCTCACAGATGTGCATCACCACACCCAGCTGCTAGTTATCATTCTTTTTCACAGATATTACCATCATGTGTTACTGCCAAGTACTCACAAATTCAGTGCTGGGTGTTGTGAAGCAGACCTGGAATCTCCACTCTTGGAAAGTGAAGGCAGGAGGATCAAGAGTTCAAGGCTTCTGGGCGTGGTGGAGCACACCTTTAATCCCAGCACTGGGGAGGCAGAGGCAGGTGGATCTCTGTGAGTTCCAGGCCACCTGGGGCTACAGGGAGACCCTGTCTCAGAAAGGACAAAAAAGTTCAAGGCTAGACTCAGCTACATAGAAAGTTTGAAGCAGCTTGGGTTCTCAAAACAAAACCGTAAGAAAATTCAGGTCAAGTGTGGTGGTACATGCCTTTAATCCCAGGACTCAGGAGGCAGAAGCAGGTGGATCTCTTTGAGTTCAAGGACAACCTGGTCTACATAGATAGTCCCAAGCCAGCCAGGGCTACATAATGAGATCCTGTCTCAAAAAAACCAAAACAAATTAAAAAGGCAAAACAAGACAAAAAAAAATTCATGTTGCTTTCTTATTCTGCATACCATAATTTTGCATTACCATAGATCCTGCCATTGCTTTTTGATTATACTATTTATCTGTGTATATACAATTTGAAAGGATGCTTATATAATATATATACCAGTCTCTCCTCCTCCCCCCACCACACACACACTCCTAGCACATGGCCAGAAGAGGGTGTCTGATCCCCTGGAACTGGAGTTACATATGGTTGTGAGCAGCCATGTGGGTGCTGGGAATTGATCCTGGGATTTCTGCAAGAGCAGCCAGTGCTCTCTCTTTACCATCTGAGCCACCTCTCCAGCCCCAGCAGACTACTTTTAAAAAAAAAAAATAAGAACAGTTTGTGTTTTGATCTTTTATAATAGGGTCTCCCTAAGTAGCCCAGGCTGGCCTGGAACTCGAAATCCTGCTTCAGCTTCCAGTGCATGCATCACCACACCTGGTTAAGTAAGTTTCTAAAACCAAAGTTTTGAATGTGGCAAGCAAAACTGTTGTTTTTTGTTTGGGGGGAGGAAGATTGGAGGCTTTTTGTTTTTGAGACAGTCTCACTATGAAATCCTAACTAGACAAACTTCACTGTGTGTGTAGACCAGGCTGGCCTTCAACTGAGGGATCCCGCTTTTGCCTCCAGAGTGCTCAGATTAAAGGCTTGCAAAACCTTGGGTTGGTAACCAACCAAATGATTGTTATGAACTATCCAATAAAATGAAGAAAGACTCTAAAGTGGAACTAGAAGTTCCTTAAGCAACTATTCCCAGACTTGGATAGGGAACCTCATTCAAGCCAAGAACAAAGGGCTAAAGGACAGCTCTGCAGGTAAAAGCCCTGCCCCACAAGCCTAATGGCATTCAATCCCCAGAATCCCACAGTAAAAAGAGAAAACCAACTCTCAGTTGTCCTGACCTACACACACGTGCAATGGCATGTGCACACACACAATACACATACACAACAAGAACAGAGAGCACTTGCTGCTCTTGCTGAGGCCCTGGGTTCAGCTCCCAGCACCCACATGGCAGCTTGCAACCGGTTGTCACAGTAGTTCCATGGGATCTGACGCCTTCTTTGGCATCTGTGGGCATCAGGCATGGGTGTGGTGAATATACATGCAAACACACATACACATAAAATAATTTAAACCCAAGCTTTATCTACATAGCACATGGTAATCAAAAGTACCAGACTGGTGGAACTAACCTTACTGGATGTTTAACAGACATACTTTGAGGCCTATGCTAATCTGATCAGAGGGACTTAAAGGACAGTTTTTGCTCCTTGCCCTCCAAGGTCAACTAAGTTCCAGGGGAATATGGAACACCTCTCAAAACTGAGGTGAGTCACCTGTCTTCTTGTTCAGGGAGGCCACAGAGACCCCACCAGATGGACTTGAACAGTGTCCAGTCTACAAAGAGGAGGGTCAACACAGAGGAAACATCTCATCCATGCTTCCAAGTGAAGCCAGACATGGTCGAGCAGGACCTTTGACTTATCTTCACATAGGCAGAAATGGTAAAAGAAAGGAGCCAGAGGCTCCTCCCAAGCCCATGTGACCCCTGAGGAACAGATCCTCAAATGACCTTAAGAGTAAAAATAAATGGATTTATTTGGGCCAACTGTATAAAAAAAAAATTAAGAGCCCAAGAATAAGAAGTCTATTATGCACTATACATATTGTTTAGAAGTTATAATCAATGAAATAAGACCAAAATTCAACTGGCAGAAGGTACTAAAGAGTTAAATGAAAAATATATCATGTTAGTGGAAGAAAGACAATAAAGCAAAATTTTTCACAAAACATTTTACTATAACTATTTTACTTTTTTGCAACATTAATAAAATAATAAAATTTATTTGAAAGAACAAGCAACAAAATTCATAAGGAGTAATAAAATAGTAATCTGGACAGATATTCAATATATTTGTAAACAAAACAAAGTGACATTGCTTTAAAAATATATAGAGCTATCAATATAAAAACAGAACGCTTCCGAGACTCGGCTCACTATATTTTTGTTATAGGCACAGAAATTGACTCAAGCTAGCTCATTTCTAAGACAGAAGCAAAGCTTTTGATGATATCTTCCCAGATTTTTGTGAATAATCTAGGGAATTTGGCTGGATTACAGATGAAAGAAAGGTATGGTGGGAGGTAAACTGCCTTCAAAGAGAAGGAACAAATAGGTTTTAAGAAGCAGGGGATATTTCTAACCATTCTAATAATCTTGGCAAAGCTTAATAAACCAAATGTGAGGTAGCAAGCCATGCAGGCCTAGGGGAAGAGCATTCTACAAAGGAGAACAGCCTGTGTAACCTTTGGGTCAGGAGGAAATGGGATTTACTTGAGGAATAAGGCCAATAGGTTGGAACAGTGCATTCAGGGGAAAATGGTAGGGTAGCATAGCAGAGAATGGGACAGGAGGTAGGCAGGGCCAGACCCCTGGGACCTCTGGCTAGCAGTAAACAACAATCTGTACTCCTTAGGAGCATGCTTTAGTGAAACAGCAAACTACAACAGTGCTGCCAATACTAAGCACTCACTAAAACACAGATCTAAGACATTTGCTATTTTTACCATAGAGTATACAAGAGTCTGCATATCCATTTTATACACAGTAGGATTTTCCACCAGAGCATGTGGGACAAATACAGACACTTTCTACACCTAAAGGAAAGGGAGGGTGTAAAACTTCACCAGTGTGCCTTGGCCTAGGTATACTCACTGAGAAGGCCTAGTAAATATTAAAGATGCGAATTGGTCACCCAATCAATCAATCGAGGAACAAATTAAACACAACAGAATATATTCACAATCTCTTACCTCCCTCAATTGTAACAGATGGTAAGGTATGATGATTATCTCTTAACTTTTTGTGAAATCTAAGGAAATTTAACTAGATTGAGGTGGGGAAAAGGGAGAGAGAGAGATAAAGTGCCTCCTCCCCCCCCTTTTTTTTTTTTTTTTTTTTTTGGTTTTAAGGACAGGGTCTTGTCATGGAGTTGGGTTAGGAACTCCAGCCTCCCAAGTGCTGGAATTACCAGTGTGTGCTACCACACCCAGCAAGATAAGGTACCTTTAAAGAAAGGAATGGAAAAACTAGAGATTTTTCCAGGCCTATGTTTATAAGCAAGATGCTAGCCAGATTCCTTGACTGATGAACAGAAGTTGCTGGACATCTGGGCTGGGGACAGAGGAACAATAGGCATCACTAGACCAGGCTCAGGGAGGTAACACTGAAAACTTACAGAAGCAGCTAAGGCTACTGATGTTGTCTAGAACCTCTCCTGAAGGGGTACTCTGCAGTTCTGTGAAAGAGTACTTAAGGAGGGGCAAGGAAGAAGGTTCCTCCATTGGATAGTGACTATTAAGTAGCAGGAAATATTAGATGGCAGAAAAGGAGAATCTTTTCATTTAGGACATTTCTTACACACACACTAAAGTGCTTCAAGTAAGACACAAACAGTATTAGTGTGAACAACTGGGAAATTATACATACAACAAAAGAAAAAAAAAAACACGCATTGTAACACTCAAGTTGGATGCAAGGTAGAAATTGATACAGTTTAGTGGTAGAGCACTTGCCTGGCATGTGCAAGGCCCAGGGTTTAATCCCTAGCACTGCAAAAACTGCAAGCTTCACATGTTCTATTACCGTAAGATATACATTATTGAAAAACACAATAAAAGGCCTTATAAAGGGCCTAAACTCTGGTCACCCTGGGTTACTTTTTGTGCTGTGCTCAATATTCTTGGACAAGCCCCCATTACAGCTTAACAGAACTAAATGTAAACCAAGCTATAAACAGGACGGATACCATTTTTTTTGACCCTTTCAGGTAAGACTGTGGGTCCAATTTCTTCAAACTACACATGCCAAGGCTTTTTCCCTAGGGAAAGACAATGTGCTTTAACGTAGTGGCCGACAAAGATACGACCAGTTCCTTCTTCAAACACAGCAGGCCAAAATGAAGGGGAAGTGAATTTCCCTAAGGATCACTCAATAAGAAGTGTCCAGATACCAGTTCCCATTCTAATGACTACTGCTGCTTACGAAGCTAAGGCTGTACACAGCAGTGCTTTGTCTGTAGAGACTGTAACCAAATGTAGTCATTTCATAAGAATGGCTTTATATCCCTGGATATTCTTCCTTTAGGTAAAAACACTGAGGCAGTATTCCTTCTGCTTTGGCTCCAAGACAGGGGTGACTGTGTGCCTGTCCCTACTAAGGACAAAGAAGCATTGTTCTCACTTCACTAACAGGTACCTGCCTTCATGCCACAGCACCTCCCTCACCTTCACATCCAGATTTCAGAGCCAGATTCGAGGAGTACATAGGGAAATGGGACAGGCAATAGCAAAGCTAATCCATTCTGACTAGAATTAATGAGATCTAGAATATGTTAAAGTGATGCGGGAAAAAAATGAACTATTTTTAAAACATATAAATTCTTCAAGCACATCAGCATTTATTAATGAACATAAAAATAAAATTTATTACTTTCATTTTGCCAACTTTTGGCAAAAGGAGCTTGAGCTCCTAAGAAAATTCCAGTTATACTAGCTCCTGCAGTGTAACTGAGTGATTCTCACAGAACAAATTTCTATTCTTGGAGACTATCCCTTCTACCCTCATGCCTTTTGTTTTTTTTCCTGGGGTGTGTGTGTCCTAGTGAGTTTAATTAGGGTTGTTAATAGGAGTGAAAGGTTATCTTTAAGATCATGTGCCACTTACCAGGCACTACACCACTGAAGAAAATGTCTCTCCCTCCTCCAACAAGCATGAATTGCCTATAGATCCTCAAGGAAAGGTGGGGTCATGTGAACCCCTCCCTGTAGTAAATACTAACTGTCTACAGGTCCTTAGGGAAGGGTGGGGACTTGAGAGCACCTCCCCCGCCCTCAACTCTCTAATTTCTTACACAGAAGAGCTTTGGAGCTTAGAAGTAACAAGAAGCCTAATGGAGAGGTTGCCAACTGTTCTTCCTTTCACTCAGACACATGCAAACACTTTCTTGCGTGGCGCCAACACTTAACATGAAAACCAGACGCATTCTAAATACCTCAATCAGTCAAAATATACTGTAAATCTAGGAATGCGGCTTGGTGGTAGAGTGCTTGTCAATTGTCTCTGAGGCCTTTAAGTTAGCCTCTGAAGTAATACAAAAACAAAGAACAAACCCCACAAACACACAAAACCTGCGTTATCATGAACTTTAAAAAAACCTTCAATTATTCATTAGTTTTCTCATTCTTGGAGCTAATGAACAATGTGCAGTTTGCACTTGTCTCTACGGGGGCTTTAGGATTTGATTTAGCTATTTGGTTTACCAAAACTAGAACTGATGGGGTTTTTTTGAAGCTCTGCCTTTAGATCTAGGGGAAGATGGTTCACAATCAGTTGTGCTCACAGTAATGGATGCCATCTTCACAGATCCGGACTGACGAGGTTCCATTGACACTTGAATCACAACTTTTGTCTCAGGAGGCAACCCTTCGAGCTGTTTAGGCTTCTTAAACATTTGGTGACACTGAGTCTTATGCTCCATTTTTTCCTTGAAAGTTAAAAACTGCAGCCGACATTTGGAACACTGGTGAATACTCCTTTCCCAGTGCCCCCTATAATGACACATGTATGGTGACCCAGTTTTGAAAATTTTAAGACAAAATGGACAAAGTAGATTCTTAGTGTTTACATGGCACTTTCTAAAATGTGTTTCCACATCAGCAAAGACTGATGATCTGTAGTTACAAATCTGGCACACATAGGGCATTTCCCCAGGCTTGTGATTATCCTTCATGTGTTGTAAAAGAACTTGATCTGTTTCAAATGACAATTCGCAGATTCTGCAGACAGTAGAGGGCTCTGGAGCAGTGTGCACACTGTCAATGTGCCGCTCCAGCTGGAAGGGAGAAGGGAACTGCCGGTGGCAGTGCTGGCAGGTGGTGTGGGTTTCCCAGCTGTCGCTCCCCTGCTTCTCAAGTTCCAAATGATGCTTGGTGTGATTCATAAATTTAACGTTCTTTAGAACTTTTAAACAGCTGAGGCATTTAAAGGTTGTGTGAGTCTTCTGCTCTGGCTGACCATCTCCTTTATGCTGTCCATAATAAAAGTCACTAAGTAAGAGGGTCAGATTTCCCTTCTTGGGATCAAGTGTCTTGTTTTGACCTGCTAGACTTGAAAAGTCTGCTTTTGTCAACCCATTTTCTCTGTCAAGATTTAAACCTGTAGGACTGGAGTGAACACTGTCCTCTGGAAAAGGTGCTCCATTCTCAACATGGTTTACTGGCACATGAACTTCACTTGAGGGTGCACTTGGTTGAGGGTTCACTGTACTATAATTCCCTGAAGGGGACAAAGCTGAATATTCTTCTACAAGTCCATCATTAAGTTTAGACCTTTGGGGATTTATGCCATTTACTTCAGAAGTGATACGGCGCTTCAATACACGAGGACTTTCATTCAAATCTCCTATTGAAAGCACTGCCCTCGCTGGATGGTGCAATGAACTTGTGGATGTAACCAAACAACAGGACTCTGAGGAGCTACTAGGCACGTCTTGTGGTGAATTGTTTTTACAATCAGGTTCAGACAAAGGCTCAATAATAATAGGACTATCTGTTGATCGTGATTCAGATGGAGATGCTGGCAAGATGGTCACCGTTTCTGATTCGGGGGCCACACGGCTTGTGGGCTGCACTCTTTGAGCACTACTTTTTCTAAGGTGACCACACTTTCTTCTTAAGCGTGAACCTGGGGTGACTCTATTCAAAATGTTTGAACTGGCTGGTTTTGAATCTGAAGATACCCCAACAAAGATCAGTTCAGCATCCTCACTTACATGTTCTACCCCAACAAAGATCAGCTCAGCATCTTCATCATCAATCTGTTTAGTTTCTTGTAAACTCTTCTGTGGTTCTGGGTCTTCTTCATCACAGATCACGAGCGGTTGATCCATTTTCTAATTCTTAATTCTTGAAAGGTGTGGCTTGCTTTATATATCTGCCACCTAAGTATAAACACATCAGCCATTGGTGAGCACAGAAAAATGCATTATTTAATTCTCAAAAGCTTTGCAGTAGTTACAAACATCCTTATGTTAGACAAAACCCAGACAAGACTGAGACACAAGGAGGAGCAGCTTGAATGTTATGATGCAAGGTAAGGTCTCTGTGACTTCAGAATTAAACTGATTATAATCTCTTCCATTTAAAAAAAAAAAAAAAAAATCCAGGTCCAGGAGATGGCTCAGCAGGTAAAAAGTGCTTGTCATTAAGCCTGACACCCTGAGATCTATTCCACATGGTGGAAGGAGAAAAACAACTCTTTCAGGTTGTCCTCTGACCATACATGAACGTGCATGTGGACACACAAAAATAAGTAAACATACTCTCTTCTCCAGTCGAGCAGGATGCCGAAAGGAAAGAAGGCCAAGGGGAAGAAGGTGGCCTTGGCTTCTGCTGTCCTGAAGAGGCCAAAAAGGTAGTGAATTTTCTGCTTGAGAAAAGGCCTAAGAAATATGCCATTGGACAGGACATCTAGCCCAAGAGACCTCACTGCTTCATCAATTAGTCCCAATACATCCAGTTGCAGTGACAAAGGACTATCCTCTGTAAGTGGCTGAAAGTACCACCTGTGAAATGCAGGTACTTAAGCGTGCACACAAGATCAGGTCAGAGACCAAGCAGAAGCCAAAGAGGCCGCTGGCCTGAGCTAGGAAGAAGGCTGCTAGCAAAGGGGTCATCCCACCAAGCAGGGGTTAGTATTCTTAATGGGTGGAGAACAAGGCTCAGCTGGTGATGATCATACATGATGCAGACCCCATCTGGTAGTCTTCTTGGCTGCCCTGTGTCACAAGATGGGGGTCCCCTATTGCATTATCAAGGGAAAGGCCAGGTTGAGGCAGCTGGTTCACAGGAAGAAAGAAGTCGTGCAATACCACTGCCTTCATACAGGTTAATTCAGAAGACAAAGGCTCTCTGCCTAAGCTGGTGGAAGCTATCAGAACCAATTACAATGACAGATATGATGTGATCTGCCATCACTGGGGAGGCAGAGGCAGGAAGAGCTCAGTGAGTTACAGGCCAGTCGGGTCTACACAGTGAGTTCCAGGGCAGCTGGGGGTACATGGAGACCCTGTCTCAAAATGACCAAAAAAAAAGGTCTTTACAGTTAAGAGATTCAAGGTGGAATCCTCAGTCCAAACTAGCTGAATCTTCCTTAGCAAATTTATTTTTTAAGTGTACCTTGGTATCTTGAAGACAAAAGTTCTTATTTATTAAAAAGCTATTTTTAAAAATTTATTATTTTATGTGTATGCATGTATTGCCTGCATGTATGGAAGTGCACCCATGTCATGCAATGCTGAGGAGGTCAGAAGAGGGCGTCAGATCCCCATAACTGGAGTTACAGACAGTTAGCTGCCATGTGGGTGCTGGGAGTTGAACCCGGGTGTTCTCCAAGGACAACCAGTGTTCTTAACTGCTGAGCCATCTCTCCAGCCCCAATAGCTATTTTTTTAAAGTATCATTCCATTGTTTGCTTCACAGAAATAGAGGGAAAGCATTAAATGCATATGCTTCTATTGAACCATACGAATGAATTTCATGATTTATATACAAAAGATAAAATTTATAGAGTAAGAATATCTACATAGTCAACAAATAGTACTGCACAAATGTCCAAGTACTCAGCATTTGTGAGGCAGACGTATTAGGAATGAACTGTTTTGAGACTCTCTACTTGCAGCCTTAAGTTCTTTGCGTTTTTTGTTATTTTCTGAGATGGGATCTCATTTTGTAGCCCAGAACAGCTTTGAACCTACTTTGTAACAGTCTGGCCTTAAGCCCCCAATCCTCTCTGCTTCTCCAGTCCTGGGATTACAGGTTTAGATGACCACACCTGGCCTTCTAGCTTTAACTGTAGTCCTTTCCCTTGAGTTTCCTAAATTTCTCCCTTTAGTGCTGACATCCCCATTGAGGAGTACTCCTTCCTTCAAGGCACCTCATCTTTTCTCCATATGACAAGCAGAATGATTGTGAGAAATCAAATTACTGCTCGGCTCTAAATATTCCACTGACTTGCTGACTCACTCTGTGAGGGGGCAAGTCCTTCCAGTGCATACATAACCACAGCATACCACCCTACAGTTTATCTCATACTTTTCTCCTCACCTACTACCTACCACTTCACTCAAATGATACTAACTTCCTATATGTGTTCGTGTAAATCTATATATAAAGATAGGGTCTCACTATGTAGCTCAGGCTATCCACAAACTCAAGATCAACTTGTCTCTGCCTCCCCAATGCAGATTACAGACAGAAATTACCACACTGGCTCCCTCCTTGCTATTTATTTTTATTTACTTTTATTTTATGAGTATTTTTCCTGAATGTATGTAAGTGTACCATGTGTGTATGATGCCCATGGAGGCCAGAAAGAGTTGGATTCCCCTGGAACTGGAGTTACAGATGGTTGTTAGCTGCCATGAGGGTGCTGGGAACGAAACTTGGGTCCTCTGCTAGAGCAGTCAGTGCTCTTAACCACTGAGCCATCGCTCTATTTTTAAAAGATTTTTATTTTTACTATTTTTAGTTATATATTATGTGTATGTCAATGTGTGGGTATGTAAGTGCCTATTGGTTCAGAGGGGAGTGTCAGATCCCTTGGAGCTAGAGTCACAGGCATTTGTGAGATGCCCAAAATAGGTGCTGGGAACTGAACTCAGGTCCTCTCTGTTGAGTCATCTCTCCAGCCACACCCCCTCCCCATAGTTCTTGGACACTCTAAACTCTTTGTCTTGCTCAGGGTCCTTGTCTTTGCTGTTCCCTTTAACGTGAACTTTCTTCATCCAAATACCCACAATATGGATCCTCGGACTACCTCGAGGGCTCAGCTCTAAGAACTCTTCTCAGTGAGATCCTCAAATACCTCAACCAACCTAACTTCTATTCCCAATCTCACTACCTTTCTTGTTCACCTTCAAGTGCTATCACCACTTTGTATGTAAACTTTACTTATTTATCTTGATTCTTTCCTCTTGCCCATCCAGAAGATAAACTCCAAAGGATGGGGACTATATCTTTTTATGACTGTGGTATCCCCAGCACACAGAGCAGTGTGTGAAACCACACATGCTCAGCAACGCACAAGTTGTTAAAATGAAGCACTAAGCAGTAACTCTCATTAATACAATCTTTTATTTGTAAAAATGGATTATGTTCCATTCATTCCACATTTTCTATAAACGTAATCTGAGAATTTAGTACAAATCAAAAATTCAGGAGGCTTATAAAGGATTTGCAGCTGCTGACATTTTATAATTTTGTCAAAACCTGGGTTCAGATCCCAGCACTCACATGGCAGCTAACAACTGTCCATAACTCCAGTTCTAGGGGATATGACTCCCAATTCTGACCTCCGCAGTACTGCATGACACGGGTGCACTCACATACATGCAGGCAATACATGCATACACATAAAATAATAAATTTAAAAAATAAATTATATGAAAGCTTATTATACACAGACACACAAATAATAATTGCCACACGGTGTGGTGGTACATACCTATAATTCCAGCACTCAGAAGGATCATGAGTTCAAGGCCAGGTTGGGATGTACAGTGAGATCCAGCTCAGCCGGAACTACACAGCAAGATCCAAGATCCTGTCACAATAAAATTTTAAAATTAATAAATTGAAAAAACCAAAAAGCTGTTGAGACACTACTAGTAGTCTGAAAAACTGTTGAAGCAATGCAAAATGTAGGCACTTTATGGTTCACAAATCAGCAATTTCTGAACATCTCAAAAATCATTGTAGCTCAATATAGACCTTTCAAAGCAGCATAATCTTTTTGGTTGTGAACCTGAGTCTTTAATGGCCACACCAGCTCTCTAGCCCAAGCCAGTATAATTTTTCACATTACAATTTATTTTGTAGGGATACATGCAGAGCACATGTAGAGGTCAGAGGCAACTTGTGGGAGTCTCCTTCTAACATGTGGATTCCGGGACCTGAGCTCAGATCATCAAACTTGGTGGCAAGCTCCTTTACTGGCTGACCATCTCACAAACCCTACCATAATCTTTTGATTTATTGATTTATTTTGAGACAGGGTCTTACTAGGTAGCTCTGGTTGGCCTGGAACTATGTAGATCAGGCTAGCTTTTAACTCACAGAGATCTGCTTGCCTTTGCCTCCCGAGTGCTAGGATTAAAGGCATGCATCACCCTGCCTGGCAAGTATAATCTAATCTATAAAAATTAAACTGGTATCTAATACGTATCATGCATTTCACATCAATTTTAATTTGAATATTAGTATCTAATTTTGTAGCACACATTTTATCCTATAACGCATGTATCACCTTGGAAATCAACTAAAAATACATTCTATTAAGAATAACAAAAATTATGAGCAGGGAGTGGTGGCGCAAACCTTTAATCCCAGCACTCGGGAGGCAGAGGCAGGCGGATCTTTGTGAGTTCCAGGCCAGCCTGGTCTACATAGTGAGTTCCAGGCCAGCTGGGGCTATAGGGAGACCCTGTCTCAAAAAGACCAAAAAAAAAAAACCAAAAAACCCAAAAAACAACAACAACAGAAACTATGTACCCTTTTCCCTTTCCCTCATTATTCCATTTACACCGTTTTGTTTGCCCAACACTGGTAAGACAGTGCCAAGCATGAAACAGACAACAGTAAAGGCATGAAACTCACTGGATCAGGTAATAATTAAGTCTATACATAATGTCAGAAAAATGAGGTGAATCTTAACACACTCCTCCCTGGAGTCAACTACAATAGGTTTGTTCTGTCTATACATAGCTTTAATCATCCAACCCCAGGATGATGCCACTTAGCCCAGTTTTTCTCAACCTAAGCACTACTGACATTTGTTCTCTACGTGGAGTTTTGGGTGCCTAGCAGATGTTTGGCAACACCCTTGGCTTCTTCCCATTAGGTACCAGCAGCAATCTCCAAGCTGTGGCAACCAAAAATGGCTGTAGGCATGACTGAAGGTTTAGTGGGAGACTCCAGTCCAAATTCAACCTCCTCAGGATCCCTTCCACATTTCTAGTAATGTTCTTGACAATTTTATGTATGTCTTAACATCTCTAACAAAAAAGTACTAAATCAGAATGATTAATATTCTGATATCATAAATATCAGAAGATCATTGGAGAACTAATATGGCTATCAGACTCACATAAGGACAGATCTTAGAGACTCCTTGGTTATATTGAAGGTTTACAGACAGCTCTAAAAAGCATGATTCCTGATTCTAGTTCACTGTACTCTTCAACAGAACTCTGACAGAACACATGCCTGTTTCCGAAGGTGCTACTGCCTACTAAGGATACATTGAAGTACCTCACTGAATTTCTCCATTTTTAATTTTTCAAAGCCTGTTCAAGCCTTCTTCATCTCCCATCAAATCAGGCACAGTACCTTATAAATTACTAGATAGCACCTAGCATGCTCATTCGCACCACTTTTCATTTCCATTCCAATAATGTCCTACTAAGTGCTACTTAGTCCTAACTTCTAAGTTTAGGTCCACTTTATATTTCTGTATCTGTACTATATTCTAAATTGTTCTGTCTCTTCTAATTATATTAGCACACCAGCAGCACATGGGTCTTATAACACCAATGTAATCATATTGTTACTATATTCTTAAATGATCACCTTGACTGTACAGAATATATTTTAGATTATGCTCTATGCAGAAGCCATAACCTCCAAGGTGATGATACTTGGACATTAGGCCCTCAGTAGGTAATTAGGGTTAGAGGAAGCTAGGAAGGTTGAACTCTCATAAAGGAATTAGTTAGCCATTATAAATAGACGTCATGGCTCTTGCTTCCTTTTGGTCTTTCTCCCATAGGAAGACACAAGAAGTCAGTTTTCTATCAGATGAGAAAAGAGCTCTCAGTGGAAAACTAAACTTACCAATAACCTTAATCTCAGACTCGTACCCTCAAAAATTTTGAGAAATAAAATTCTGGTTTTTTTAAATTTTTAAAAATTATTTATTTAATAACAACATACTTAGAAGAAGCATATCATTACAACACAATTGACATATTCAATAACGGTTTCCTGAGGTAGGATGCATCTCTTTCAAAATTGGCTGTAAATTTTTAGGTTTACAGTTGTATTATTACAGGAACCTTGAGAGTGAGTAGGAAGGATGGACTGGCAGGTTGGCAAGCTGGCAGGCTAGTAGGTGAGGTGACTAAGCAGTCAGATATTCCTGATCAGGGCCAGTTTGGGGGGAAGAGATGACCTGCTCCTGCTGTGAGAACCCTGGGTTTCATCCACTTCTCTACCAAGATATTTACCAAACTCTTAAACAAAAGACTAGCAACTCCTCAAAGACCAATTCTGCCCTCTGTGATTTTGTAAAGTTCATCCCACCTTGCATGTCCTTTGTCCTGCAGAGTTTGGATCTGGCCTGAAGTGTCTTAGCTGTCTTTCTCAATTCTGACAGTCTCATAACTGTGCTGTCAGCATTAATCTTTGTTCAAGTTCAGACCTGGACTGATCTTCCTCCTTACTGTCTGAAACTCTCCTCAACCCACAACTCCCCTTGGGACAGGCCTTTGTAGAGCCAGGAGTAGGCTGCTGCTGCAAGGCGGCTGGGTGGAGCCTGTCTTCAGCAGCTTGGAACTAGAATGTGTCCTCTGCTCCCAGGGGCTCTGTGTTTAAAAACAGCACAGGCAACCCTCCCTGTGCTGGTGACACACAGACTCATGAGGGTGAATAATCATTTTGATAGTCATTTTGGGGGTAAGCAACAGAACAGTGAATAAAAACTCATCTCCAACTAAAAATA